GAAAGAACACAGGCTTGGGTGTTGTAAACCCTAGCATTTTGGCCTCTGCCATTTGGTAGCAGTATAACCTTGAAACAAAGAATTACTCTGTATTTTATTCTCTCCCTTCTATGAAATTGGGCTGATAAAAATTGTTACTATACTTCCTTCACAGGATTGTTAGAAGATCCCAATGAATAATGAATGTAAAATGCTTTGGAAAGCATATAAAATACTAGATGCAATGAGATACGTTCAGTTCTTCCCATTCTGCGATCAAAGCTTAAGGGTCAAGCATTAGAAACAAAATTGTTTCCTATTCATAGCTCAAGACATTCTGAACTGAGTGAGCAAAGTTGTTATCAGGGAAAAGCTTTGTTTTGTGACAGGAAAAATTCTAATAGCTGAGGTTTATTGAGTACTTACTATGTACCAAGGCCTTTTTAAAGCACTTGTTTAATCCTCATTAACAATTCCCTGAGGTAGATACTATTGTTATCCCAATTTTAGAGCCAGAGAAACTAAGGTGTAAAGAAATTAACTACTGCAGGTCACACAGTTAGTACAATGACTCCCTATCAACAACAGAGTTCAGTGCACATGAAGTGTGAGGGTCCGACAGGGTTAGGAAGAGGTTGAGAATATCAGTGACAGCATATCTAGGCAGGTCAGATCAAGACTTATCCAGAAAAGTTAAGGCAGCTGTTCCTTAGGGATCAGTTGTTTTATTCCTGGAAAATGTTTTCCACTTTCTGCAAATCTGACCTGCTGAGGAAATCATTTGGTGAAATGAATCCAGAAAGCAGAGAAAATGTTTCATTACTTGAAATAGCAGCACTAAGCCCATTATAGCTTCTGAATTGTCCCTTCTTGGAGTTTGCTAATGCTTCCAACTTCGTCGTTTGGAACTCAAGAGTACGAGTTTATGTGCCTCTCCTGATAGCCTCATCTCTCAAAGAGTATATAACTGTTTATTTTGGACTTACATTACACAATTTAAAACATAAGATTCTATCCATATATTTCATTATTAAGCCAACATTGTACTATGTTTTGTGATACTTCAACATCTTCTAGAATTCTTTTGTCGATCTAATAGAATAAAGACCTCTTAACTCAGTTCTACTGCATCCATATTTTTCTGTTTAAATAAAGGGGAACCAGGCAAAAGCTTAGGTCTTCTTTTCTTCCCTTCCTGAAATACAAGAAGGAAAAGAAATCCCCTGTTGGTGTGATGGGGAACATGAACTTGTCCTGGCACCTTATTCTTTCTGTATCTGCTGAGGTCTACCTAATTAGGTTCTTGAAATTCAAAGTTCAGCCTGTTTTTTGTGTTGTTTTAGCAAGCTCTGTCTTCCTCAAATGGTCTTGGGTTCTCCCAGTACTAATTAATTGACATATGATATAGTCTGGGCAGGCATATTATATAGTAACAAGTCTATGGCTTGTTACTTGTAAATTGTCACTAAAAAGTATACGTTCCCTATTCTTTATTGCATAACAAGAGTCCTTTTAGTTTCATTATTTTGTTATATGAGCAAAGCTAAGTTTCTTGACTGGATTTGAGGCTCTCAGTTTTAAAATGTATGTTTCTTGACTGTAGTCCTCTATTGAGAGATGCACTGTGATTGGGTAGAGAGGAAATCAAGAAACCGGGGGTTAAAATTAGCTTTGCTAATTTTATGTGCAATGTCATGATGGGACATTGGGCAGTCGTTCTATCTGTACCTCGGTTTCTTCCGTAGAAAAATAGACATAATCATGCCTCCTTCACAGAATGTTTAAATCAAATGATAGAACATAAGTGAAACGCGTCATTAGGTTGTGCAGTGCCGTGTGCAGGCAGCTGTCAGTGGTCTTCATGCAAAAACTGAGATCGAAAGCACTGTTGTGTTGTGGTTAATAGGAGAAGGTTTGGAGTCAGACTGACTTGGGTTTAACTTTCAAACTAGCCCTTTGTCCTTGAAAGGTGTCTTGTTCAGTTACCTTCCCTTTAAATAGAGATAAAAATTCTTCATAGGGTCGGTATGGGGGTTAAATAACCTAACAGATAGAAAGTACTTAGTGCAGTGGGTGTATGTAGTATGTGGTAATTTGGACGATCGATGTGATGGTGATCATAAGAAATCAGCAGATTTGAAATCAACAGGATTTGGCTCAGTGTTTCTTTAACTAAGATATAGCTGTGGGAACATAATCATGACAACAATCATCAATTTCAGTCTGTGCATCTTGGCCTCCTAAAATCGTTTATTCCAAGCCATATTTTTTGTAACAGCCCTCAGAGAAATGATTCTCTCTGTCCTTCCTCTAAATCGAGTAGCATTATCTCAGCACTTCTGGGACAGCTTGTTTATCAGACTTCTCCGTACTTCCTGAGTGCCCCTAGGGAAATTTGATTAAGAAATTTTGTTGCTCTAGGAAAGTGGATGACTATATTAAGCTTTGCCATGTCTGTTTACAACAATAAGCTGGTATGTCTGGGGATGTAAAGGCGGACAAACAAGAAGAGCTATAAAGGAAAGGAAGCAACTTCTCATTTCTCTTCATTTTAACAACAGCACAACTAAAGATTGAGTAAAACAAAATGTCCTTGTAAAGCAAGTTCCTTCAGTCCTGCCTTCTCTGGTTCCCTCCTGAGCCAAACTTGCCAGGTCCCTTCAGAAGCAAACAGCATTTCTCCTCTGAGGAGCCCTCTTCCTAGATTGTGGCCCTTTCTGACTCTCTCTGCAGAATCACTTGTACTGTAATTCCCATTCCTTTGGGAGTCTCTAAATAATTCTTTAACTTGAGCCTTATGGGAAAGACCCAACATATTGTTCTGGCATATCAGGCCCTAAATTGCCTGTGGCTTAATGCCAACATCCAGGATAGCTGGCTCTGCTGTTGAACATCGTAACAGGTAGTAGCACTATAAAGGTGATGAACAAATCATACTGGCATCCCACATGAAATTCTGTATTTTATTTCTTCAGGGAAGCCATTTGTTCCTGCAGTTATTGTTCTAAAAATCAGTGTGTGGTCTTCTCCCTGCCCCCAACCCATACCCCAGCTGTTGGCTCTAAGAGTAGGAATCTTGGAAGGCTTGAGTTCACAAGAGTCAAATTAAGGGCAGCCTTAATTTAGCAGAAGGCCTGCAGAAGGATGCCAGGGGATTCCCACTGCACCACTCAGGTTATGGTTTTGAAATAAGGCACTGTCGATGACATAGCTTTAGGAGAAGGTCATGCAGTGGGGATTCTTAACCTCTATTCCACATTTACTTCTCAGATGATGCAAGTGCTTGGAAAATGGTTATGGGGAACATCATAGGAAAAGCATTTTCCTCTCAGCATTGGGGTTCTCAAACAGTGTATCTGGTTTGAACTGTCCTTTCAGGGCTTCAGTGAAGAGAAGTGAAGTAATCCATCTAGTGGTCGGAGGAGGAAAGGTGGGATGAGAAGTTTCCCGGGAGTTTGTGGAACAAAGTGAAAGGGCAGTGGGCTGTCAGCAGGTGTCTTCTCTAAGAGCATGATGGGACCTGGCCTTAGTGGTGGTGGTGCTTTTTGAGGATGCTGGGACTAGGTGAGGAATCGGGGCACTGTTCTTGCAAAGCCCTTCAGCAGAACTCTATTCTCACAGAGAACAACTATCACATTGGCAGGTTATGAACAGTCTGACTGTTTGAAGGGAGGCCCTCTCCCATCCCCACCCTCACGGAAGAAGAAACCAGTCATTCATGCCTAAACTTGTCTGCCTTGTTCCTGAATTTGTGATTAATGTGAGTTTGATTATATGGAACACAAACCCTCATAGGGTGGGAGTTAGTCTAACAGAATCCAAAACAAATGTTACTCAACAAGGTGGTCAGGAAGTGGATAAAGTGCTCTTTGTGTTCTCAGAAACTGTTCCTGCTACACCCTCACTATCAGTGAAAGTGGACCGAATTCAACTTATCCAGGTGCAGGTAGCATTAGTCAGCCTGGGACCCACAGTGAGAGTGACATCTCCCTGACTGGTATCCTCTAACTTCCCAGTGCTTCCTCCAAAGAGCCCACTGTCTTTTTTTTCCTGTCTTCTCGTTAGCATCTCCTTTCCCCAGTTCTGGAGACGAGTCATAAAGTAATGATACAATTCACATTTCCTGAAACTCCACCTGCCGCCACAGACCTTGACCAGAGCCTGCTTTCCAGACAGTGACTGGGGTGTCCCCTTGATCAGAGCCCCCGTCTCCGCAGCCTTGGTGTGCTGCCAGCCCTTCAGTCCCACCTGCAGTTTGTACCATCCCTCCCGCCTCTGTCAAGGAAGAAGACACTGAGAGCCTGGCCATGTCCCTTTATTGGACTCAGCTGGCAGGCAGGCCCCGGGCCCTTCACACTTCTCAGACACCTCCCAGATGGATTTAGGAAGGTGCCATCATTCTGTGAAGGCCTAGAGCCCACCCACCCCAGGTTGAATCACCAATCAGAAGGTTGGGGTGGGGGAAGGGAAAAGGCAGACCAGAAAGGCAAGGCTGTTCAATGAAGGAGACTGATCTCAAGGGAAAGCCTGCATCCAGCAGAGTCTGCTTGGGGCACACTGAAGGCCAAGGAGAGAGACTCAGGGGCAGGATGAAGTGAGAGATCTGTGGGCTGAGCGGCGCAGGGTTATATGGCAACTTTGAGGAGGCGCTTGATGTCGGGCTCGATGTTGATGGTCGGGAAGGTGCGGCTGTAGCGTCGGAAGGGCTCCCCCTCCGGCCCGATGAGGAACTTCTCAAAGTTCCAGGACACATCTGAGCGGCGTACGGGGCTCCAAATGATGAACTTGGGATCCGTCATGAGAGAAAACGGGTCATCATAAGGGTAGGGGAGCTTGTCCTTCAGGTAGGCGAAGACAGGATGTTCGTTCTGACCATTCACATCACACTTTTGGACAAGGGTAAATGTGGGCTGGAATCCACCCCCAGGGCGGACGTACTTGAGACTGTTCAAGATCTCCTCATTCTGACAGTTCTCCTAGGGGAGGAGAAAGACCAAGAGCTTAGAAAAGGGAAGAGGGAGAGGAAGGGTCCAGAAAAAGTCTTTCACCCTCCTAGACTCCTCATTCTTTCTGTGTATCTTCCCCCCACCACCTCTGTTCCTTCTCTTTCCTCTTTCATTTCCTCCTTCATTCAAGGAGAGGGCAGACTCCTTGAATCAGAGTCTTTGCTCTCATAGCTGTTATTGAATGGTTTGCTAGGGCACTTCTGAAAGTTCTTGCAGATCCTAGCTTGGCTGTTCTTTTTAGCACTTTTAGATTGAGCACTTTTGAGCTCTTGCTTCTCTCTCTGACCTACCTTGAGCAGTTCTTAAGGGTATCTGTCTGAAGCTTCAAGGAAACTTGAGTTCAGGGCAGGAGAAAGAAAGGGAAAGGAGGCCCAGGTCATACTGCCTAGAACCTTCTACTCACCCAGCCACACACACTCTCTCTCTCT